TTTCCTTCCAGTAAGTGATGGCCGGAGTGTTATGTTACCCAGACCCTCAGCTTCCCTCCATCCTCATCCTCCTTCTTCCTTGCAGGTGGTGAAGGGTTCATCTCCAACTGAAGTGGGGGATGAGGATGCCATGGGTCAGATCCGGAAGGGGCATGACACCATGTGTATGGTGCTGACCAGCCGCATGCGCAACCTGGACACGGTGAGAGTGGTATGGAGCTCCGGAGACATCAAGGTGAGAACATCCTCCCGTGTGATGAGGGGGGTCATATGTGTTCATGGATGAGGGGGAAGGGAGGGGGGAATGGGTGTGGGGGGTCATATGTGTTCATGGATGTGGGGGGTGTCATATGTGTTCATGGATGAGGGGGGAATAGGTGGGGGAGGTCATATGTGTTCATGGATTAGGGGAAAGGGAAGGGAGGGGGTTTTCATAGAAAGGGAGGGGAGGTCAGATCATGGAGGAACCCGTTGTGCTCATAGGTCAGTGATGGCCGGACCACGTTCTGCCCGGCATTATTTTATTAGATATTTTATATAGTGCCGACAATTTACACATCAGTCCCCGCCCCCGAGGAGCTTACACTCTAAGACCCCTATCTCACATGCATACATATGAGGGCCGCTTTAGATCGTAGCCAATTACCCTTCCAGCATGTCTTTGGAGTGTGGGAGGAAACCCGCAGATAGCGTCCTGGCCGGGGATTTGAACCCGGAACCCCGAATGCTGCAAGGCAGAAGCGCTAAATACCCCACCACCGTGCTGCCTGAGGCCCCATTCACACAGAGCGGACTCCGCCCAGAATATCGCACCCCGCGGACGTCACACGAGTTTGAACCACCCACATGGGAGTGAATTCTTCTGGGTAGCGCGTGGAAAACCGGCAATGTGTGAGCGGAACTCTATCTCTGGGTTTGCTGCTCCCCCTGTAAATGGGGGAGATCTCTGGGGATGTAGGGTCATACCACTATCCAGTGAAGTGGGGGAGATCCCTGGGGACTTAGGGTCATACTACTATCCAGTGAGATGGGGGAGATCTCTGGGGTCGTTGGGTCATACCACTATCCAGTGAGATGGGGGAGATCTCTGGGGACGTAGAGTCATACCACTATCCAATGAGGTGGGGGAGATCTCTGGGGACGTAGGGTCATACCACTATCCAGTGAGATGGGGGGATCTCTGGGAACGTAGGGTCATACTACTATCTAGTGAGATGTAGGGTCATACCACTATCCAGTGAGATGGGGGAGATCTCTGGGGTCGTTGGGTCATACCACTATCCAGTGAGATGGGGAGATCTCTGGGGTCGTTGGGTCATACTACTATCCAGTAAGATGGGGGGATCTCTGGGGTCGTTGGGTCATACTACTATCCAGTGAGATGGGGGGATCTCTGGGGATGTAGGGTCATACCACTATCCAGTGAGATGGGGAGATCTCTGGGGACATAGGGTCATACCACTATCCAGTGAGTTGGGGGAGATCTCTGGGGTCATTGGGTCATACCACTATCCAGTGAGATGGGGGGATCTCTGGGGACATAGGGTCATACCACTATCCAGTGAGTTGGGGGAGATCTCTGGGGTCGTTGGGTCATACCACTATCCAGTGAGATGGGGAGATCTCTGGGGTCGTTGGGTCATACCACTATCCAGTGAGATGGGGGGATTTCTGGGGACGTTGGGTCATACCATTCTTCATGTATTCTGCCGGTGTGATGGTTCTGCCCTGTGTTGCAGACCTCCTTGGACTCGGCGGTGGCAGTCAATGACTTGTCGGTGGTCGTGGACATGTTGAATATTATTAACCAGAAAGCGTGAGTATCGTACGCGGTGTCACCATGGCGACCGGCCATTTCCTGTCCTCGTCCGGCCCCTAACTCTCCTCCTTCATAGGTCTCTGTGGAAGCTGGACCTGTGCCTGACCGTCCTCCCGCAGATCGACAGACTGCTACAGAGCAAATACGAGAGGTGAGCCCGGGGGGGGCACAAAGCAAGGGCCATAGAGACATGGAGGGGGGGAGGAACGTGACTGGCCGCACAGAGTCCTGACCTCAACCCCATGAATTAGAGGCGGAGACTGCGAGCCCCTCCCCCGACATCAGCACCTGACCTCACAAATGGTCCAACATTCCCATAGACACACCCCTAAACCTTGTGGACGCCTTCCCGGAAGAGGCGGAGCTGTTATAGCGACAAAGGGCGGAGCCAACGCAATACTGAACCCTCCGGACTAAGACTGGGGGGCCATTAGAGGGCGGAGCCGACCCAATACTGAACCCTATGGACTAAGCCTGGGGGGCCATTAGAGGGCGGAGCCAACCCCATACTGAACCCTACGGACTAAGACTGGGGGGCCATTAGAGGGCGGAGCCAACCCAATACTGAACCCTACGGACTAAGACTGGGGGGCCATTAGAGGGCGGAGCC